TCCAGTCCTTCCCGGGGGAGCACGGGGATGCTGCAGCGGGGATGTGGGGGGCTGTTCCCCAGGTCTGGCCGCCCCGATGGGGTTTTGTTGCTGGAGTGTTTGTTAATGTGTTAAGCGAACAGCGTGGGCTGCCAGGGCAAGGGAGGCTGGCCTGTCACGTGGAGCTCAGGCTGGTGGCGTTTTATTTGCTGGAAGGAGGGCGAGTGGTGCTGGCTGCGGGGACCCTGCGGTGCCCCATCCCTCCCCATGCCCTGGGGGACCCTGTGGTGGCCCTGTCCCTCCCCATGCCCTGGGGACCCTGCGGTGCCCTGTCCTTCCCTGTGCCCAGGGGACCCCGTGGTGCCCCTCTCCCTCCCCGTGCCCTGGGGATCCCCCTGCAGTGCCCTGTCCCTCCCTGCACCCTGGGGACCCTGTGGTGCCCCTGTCCCTCCCCGCACCCTGGGGACCCCATGGTGCCCTGTCCCTCCCCACACCCTGGGGACCCCGTGGTGCCCCTATCCCTCCCCGTGCCCTGGGGATCCCCCTGCAGTGCCCTGTCCCTCCCTGCCCCCTGGGGACCCGGTGGTGCCCCTTTCCCTCCCCGCACCCTGGGGACCCCATGGTGCCCTGTCCCTCCCCACACCCTGGGGACCCCGTGGTGCCCCTCTCCCTCCCCGTGCCCTGGGGATCCCCCTGCAGTGCCCTGTCCCTCCCTGCACCCTGGGGACCCCGTGGTGCCCCTCTCCCTCCCCGTGCCCGGGGGATCCCCCTGCAGTGCCCTGTCCCTCCCTGCCCCCTGGGGACCCGGTGGTGCCCCTTTCCCTCCCCGCACCCTGGGGACCCCATGGTGCCCTGTCCCTCCCCACACCCTGGGGACCCCGTGGTGCCCCTATCCCTCCCCGTGCCCTGGGGATCCCCCTGCAGTGCCCTGTCCCTCCCTGCACCCTGGGGACCCCGTGGTGCCCCTCTCCCTCCCCGTGCCCTGGGGATCCCCCTGCAGTGCCCTGTCCCTCCCTGCCCCCTGGGGACCCGGTGGTGCCCCTTTCCCTCCCCGCACCCTGGGGACCCCATGGTGCCCTGTCCCTCCCCACACCCTGGGGGCCCCCTGGTGCCCTGACCCTCCCTGCACCCTGGGGACCCTGTGGTGCCCCTGTCCCTCCCCGCCCCCTGGGGACCCCATGGTGCCCTGTCCCTCCCCACACCCTGGGGGCCCCCTGGTGCCCTGACCCTCCCTGCACCCTGGGGACCCTGGGGTGCCCCTGTCCCTCCCCGCACCCTGGGGACCCCATGGTGCCCTGTCCCTCCCCACACCCTGGGGGCCCCCTGGTGCCCTGACCCTCCCTGCACCCTGGGGACCCCGTGGTGCCCCTCTCCCTCCCCGTGCCCGGGGGATCCCCCTGCAGTGCCCTGTCCCTCCCTGCACCCTGGGGACCCCGTGGTGCCCCTATCCCTCCCCGTGCCCTGGGGATCCCCCTGCAGTGCCCTGTCCCTCCCTGCACCCTGGGGACCCTGGGGTGCCCCTGTCCCTCCCCGCACCCTGGGGACCCCATGGTGCCCTGTCCCTCCCCACACCCTGGGGGCCCCCTGGTGCCCTGACCCTCCCTGCACCCTGGGGACCCTGGGGTGCCCCTGTCCCTCCCCGCACCCTGGGGACCCCATGGTGCCCTGTCCCTCCCCACACCCTGGGGGCCCCCTGGTGCCCTGACCCTCCCTGCACCCTGGGGACCCTGGGGTGCCCCTGTCCCTCCCCGCCCCCTGGGGACCCCATGGTGCCCTGTCCCTCCCCACACCCTGGGGACCCCGTGGTGCCCCTCTCCCTCCCCGTGCCCTGGGGATCCCCCTGCAGTGCCCTGTCCCTCCCTGCCCCCTGGGGACCCGGTGGTGCCCCTTTCCCTCCCCGCACCCTGGGGACCCCATGGTGCCCTGTCCCTCCCCACACCCTGGGGACCCCGTGGTGCCCCTCTCCCTCCCCGTGCCCGGGGGATCCCCCTGCAGTGCCCTGTCCCTCCCTGCCCCCTGGGGACCCGGTGGTGCCCCTTTCCCTCCCCGCACCCTGGGGACCCCATGGTGCCCTGTCCCTCCCCACACCCTGGGGGCCCCCTGGTGCCCTGACCCTCCCTGCACCCTGGGGACCCTGGGGTGCCCCTGTCCCTCCCCGCCCCCTGGGGACCCCATGGTGCCCTGTCCCTCCCCACACCCTGGGGGCCCCCTGGTGCCCTGACCCTCCCTGCACCCTGGGGACCCCGTGGTGCCCCTCTCCCTCCCCGTGCCCGGGGGATCCCCCTGCAGTGCCCTGTCCCTCCCTGCCCCCTGGGGACCCGGTGGTGCCCCTTTCCCTCCCCGCACCCTGGGGACCCCATGGTGCCCTGTCCCTCCCCACACCCTGGGGGCCCCCTGGTGCCCTGACCCTCCCTGCACCCTGGGGACCCTGTGGTGCCCCTGTCCCTCCCCGCCCCCTGGGGACCCCATGGTGCCCTGTCCCTCCCCACACCCTGGGGGCCCCCTGGTGCCCTGACCCTCCCTGCACCCTGGGGACCCTGTGGTGCCCCTGTCCCTCCCCGCCCCCTGGGGACCCCATGGTGCCCTGTCCCTCCCCACACCCTGGGGACCCCGTGGTGCCCCTATCCCTCCCCGTGCCCTGGGGATCCCCCTGCAGTGCCCTGTCCCTCCCTGCACCCTGGGGACCCTGGGGTGCCCCTGTCCCTCCCCGCCCCCTGGGGACCCCATGGTGCCCTGTCCCTCCCCACACCCTGGGGACCCCGTGGTGCCCCTCTCCCTCCCCGTGCCCTGGGGATCCCCCTGCAGTGCCCTGTCCCTCCCTGCACCCTGGGGACCCTGGGGTGCCCCTGTCCCTCCCCGCCCCCTGGGGACCCCATGGTGCCCTGTCCCTCCCCACACCCTGGGGACCCCGTGGTGCCCCTCTCCCTCCCCGTGCCCTGGGGATCCCCCTGCAGTGCCCTGTCCCTCCCTGCACCCTGGGGACCCTGTGGTGCCCCTGTCCCTCCCCGCACCCTGGGGACCCCATGGTGCCCTGTCCCTCCCCACACCCTGGGGGCCCCCTGGTGCCCTGACCCTCCCTGCACCCTGGGGACCCTGGGGTGCCCCTGTCCCTCCCCGCACCCTGGGGACCCCATGGTGCCCTGTCCCTCCCCACACCCTGGGGGCCCCCTGGTGCCCTGACCCTCCCTGCACCCTGGGGACCCTGTGGTGCCCCTGTCCCTCCCCGCACCCTGGGGACCCCATGGTGCCCTGTCCCTCCCCACACCCTGGGGACCCCGTGGTGCCCCTCTCCCTCCCCGTGCCCGGGGGATCCCCCTGCAGTGCCCTGTCCCTCCCTGCACCCTGGGGACCCTGTGGTGCCCCTGTCCCTCCCCGCACCCTGGGGACCCCATGGTGCCCTGTCCCTCCCCACACCCTGGGGGCCCCCTGGTGCCCTGACCCTCCCTGCACCCTGGGGACCCCGTGGTGCCCCTCTCCCTCCCCGTGCCCGGGGGATCCCCCTGCAGTGCCCTGTCCCTCCCTGCCCCCTGGGGACCCGGTGGTGCCCCTTTCCCTCCCCGCACCCTGGGGACCCCATGGTGCCCTGTCCCTCCCCACACCCTGGGGACCCCGTGGTGCCCCTCTCCCTCCCCGTGCCCGGGGGATCCCCCTGCAGTGCCCTGTCCCTCCCTGCCCCCTGGGGACCCGGTGGTGCCCCTTTCCCTCCCCGCACCCTGGGGACCCCATGGTGCCCTGTCCCTCCCCACACCCTGGGGGCCCCCTGGTGCCCTGACCCTCCCTGCACCCTGGGGACCCCGTGGTGCCCCTATCCCTCCCCGTGCCCTGGGGATCCCCCTGCAGTGCCCTGTCCCTCCCTGCCCCCTGGGGACCCGGTGGTGCCCCTTTCCCTCCCCGCACCCTGGGGACCCCATGGTGCCCTGTCCCTCCCCACACCCTGGGGACCCCGTGGTGCCCCTATCCCTCCCCGTGCCCTGGGGACCCTGCTGTGCCCCTTCTCATCCCACAGCTGCCCCGTGGCACCGCGTGCCGGGAGGAGAGGCTGGGGACCTGGTTGTGGCTGTTCAGAAGCTGTCCTCCGTAGCTCTCGCCCCTCGGCACCGGGCTGTGTCATCGTTAGCAAATGTCCTGTGGCTCGGACTGTCGGGAGGCTGACGGAGCGTGGGAGGGAGCCGGTGCTGGGTGCCAGGGCCCCGGAGCCTCCGCGTGGGCAGGGAGAAACCTCTGCCACCGCCCGGTGGCTTGTCCCCGGCACGCTTCCTCCCGGGGTGAGGATGGTCGCCCCTTCTCCCTGCCGGGTTGTGCAGCCTTTGAGTTATTTCCCGTAGGCTCAGGGCCGTGCTGGTGCCGGCTTGCTGTGGCGGGCACAGGGGCTGCTGCATGGGTCCCCAGCCTGGGGCTCTGCTGTGCTGCAGCCACCCTCCTCTTCCTCCTCCTCCTGCTCCAGCTCCCTGCTGGGGGCTGTGAGGAAGAGCAGGCTCACTGGAAAGCCTGAGTGGCGTTTTTCGGTTAAATCTTATGTAAATCTGGCTCCATCCTTCCTCGTGGTGCTAATTGGATTGCCCCGAGGTGGTTTGTTTCCCCACACAGGCAGGTGTGGGGTGGGAATGGGGCAGTGCCGGGCGGGGGGCTACAGGGGCAGGAGACATGCTGGGGCACGGGGAAGCATGCCAAGCTCCCCGCTCTGCTGAAGCAGCCTGGCCTGGTAGCTCGGTGTGGCACTGGGCTCCACAGGGCCATGCCAGAGCCGCAGCGAGGCGAAGGAGCTGGGGAGAGAACCCTAGGCAAACCCACAGCAGCCCAAGTGGCCGGAGACTCTGGTGCCAGGAGAGGCCCTCGGGCTCTGCCACCATCGGTGGGGACCTCTCCCCCCCACCCCGAGCCCTCCTGCCTGCAGCTGCCCGCAGGCTCGGGCAGCCCCGCACGGCACCATGCTGCGGCCCGGCCCGGGCTGCAGAGCTGCAGGGAGCCGAAACCTTGGTGGGGAGGGAAACCTGGAGCTGCAGCCATGTCACCTCCCCGGCATGCCCCGTGTCCCTGCCCTGGCCGCCTCCCGTGCTGCTCTAACATGCTGTCCCCTTCCCTCCCTCCCAGAGCTCCTCGGATCGGCAAAGAAAGTCAACGTCAACTTCCAAGACACCGACGGGTGAGTGGGAGCCCCGCACCCAGGCATGCATGCAGTGGGGTGCGTGGGCAAGGGTGCGCGTGCCGTGGGGTGCCATGAGCAGGGATGTGCATGCTGTGGGGAGTGGGGGGGTGTGTGCCCGGCGATGTGTGCAGCGCGGGGTGCAGCGGTGCCATGAGCAGGGATGTGCATGCTGTGGGGAGTGGGGGGGGGTGTGCCCGGCGATGTGTGCAGTGCAGGGTGCAGCGAGCAGGAGTCTTGTGTGTCTGTGTGGGCACGCCGGGCTCTCTGGAGTGATGCAGTCAAGCTGCCGGGGTCTGGATGGGCAAGGGCTCTCGGCCTCGTTAGCTAGCGCAGCTAAGCCCTGCCTGCACCCCTGGGCCGGTGGGCTTGCATGTAGCAGCTGCGGGCATCAGAGGAGGCAGGAGGCAAGGGCTGAAAGGCAGAGGAAGAGCTGTCCCCCACGTCTCGCCGGCCTTTTCCCAGCTCTCGCTGTGGGCTCGGGGCTCTGCGGGTGCTGTGCGGGGAGCAGCCCCGTGGGGCGCCGGGTGGGCAAGCCGTGACCCCGCCGGGCTGTGCCGCCGGTTTGCTGCTTCGCAGCTGGCATCTGACAGGCGGGGAGGAGCGGGGAAGGGGGCCGCAGGCTCACCCCTTGCTAATCACACTAATGAGGCCGCCGGCACAGGAAGGCAGACAGAGCCCCGAGGAGGAGGGGGGCTGTGGTGGGAGCAGGGAGTGCTGCTTGCAGGGCTGGGCAGCAGCCGCCCCCTGTGCCCCCCAGCTCCCCCTGCCCTGTGCCCCCGCATTGAGTGGGGTGGCAGGGCACGGGGCTGGGCGATGCCGCGTGTCCCCGGTGACGGCTCTGCTGTGGCCATGGAAATGGCACGTGAGCGGAGGGGCCGGATGGGGTCAGGAACGGGAGGGCACGCCCTGGGGATACACAACCGCAGCAGCCTGGGTCCCTCCTCACCCTCGCCCCTGAGCAGGGCCCCAGCACCGGGGCGGTGGCAGTGGGCATCCCCTGGTACCCGCCGGCGCATTGGCTCTGCCAGCCTGCACGTGTGCACATGTGTGCATGCACGGATGCATGCAAGCGTGCGGATGTGCAGCAGAGCAAGTGTGTGCATGCAAGCGTGCCTGTGAGCGGGAGCATGCGTGCACGGCAGCAGGAGCGTGTGGGCATGCCGGCCAGCGGTGGGGTGGGTGCATGGTGCTGCCTGTGCGGGGCAGGGGCTGGAGGGCGCAATGTGGGCAGGGCAAGGGGTTGCATCACCCCACGGACCACCTTGTGCAGCAGCTGCTGGAGCCGGTAGGTCGCCGGAGGGCTGTGCATCATGGCAGGGCTGGGACGGCAGTTGAGAGCTGCAGGCAGGGCCCCTGCTCATGCCCTGCCTGCAACTGCCTGTGGCTACTGGCCGGCTTGGCGGGTGCAGGAACAGCCCTGCAGCAGGGGAGCAACCTTCAGCCTCCAGCCCTGCTCCTGGAAAGGATCATCCCCCGGGAACGCGCAGGGCAGACCCAGGCTGCAGCCCGCGTGCTCTCTGCTCTGCCGCCGGCTTGCTGTGCCAGCTCAGCCAGCCCCACTGCCGTGCCTCAGTTTCCCCATCTCTGCTGTGCTTGCTGATTCCTGAGCTGGTGGGCGCCATGCGTGAGCACCGTGCTGGTTTCCCCGCGCTTGCCCAGGGGATGGTGCCATGCACGGCGCATGGCCTTTGCAGCCGGCTGGGCCGTGCCAGGGGAAGCCCCCGAGGCAGCCCAGGGGAGGGCTGCAATTTGCACCATCTTGAGCGGATTTGAGCAGGGCGCTGGAGCGGAAAATGTTGACATTTCCCAGGCAGACGTTGAGGATCGGCCTCCTGCGTGAACTGTCTGCTCTCATTGCCGCTCCCTCCTGGGGGATTGCAGGCGGCAGCTCCGCGGGGAACGTGGTGGCCGAAGTGTGCTCCCCAGCATGGATCGTGTTCCTCCTCAGCTGGGGGTCCCGGTGATGGGGGGCAGATGGGATCGCTGTCCCACCACCCGCCACTCGGGCACCAGGCAGCCATGGGGGCCGGCAGGTCCCGCTGCAGTTCGCAGTCTGTTCCCGTGCTCCGGTGACACGGGGGTGGCCCCAGGGATGGGACGGGGACGCTGTGCGTGACCGGGGCGCGGAGCAGTGGGGTAGCGGGTGCGAGCGCAGCCGCGTGGAGGATGCCGCTGCCGGGAGCAGCAAGTAGGTCAGCTCCTGGCCTGCTTCCCAGCAATAAGCCTCCTGGTTTGGCCAGTCCTGGGGAAAGCAGAGCAGGGTATGGCACGGCAGGGCCGGGGGCTTTCCCCGCCACATGGCAAGGCCTGGCCCTGGGCAGGGGCACCGCTGCCATCTGGCAGCCTGGGCCCCCCCCCACTCCAGTGCCTGCGGTTGTGCTGCCGGGGCCAGGCTGGGGGAAGTGGGTCAGCGGGGAGGGCGGCTCCCTGGCACCCCCCACCCTCGGTGGGACCCCCCCTGTGCCTGCCCTGCCCATCGCCTCCAGCCCCATGGGGTCTCAACATCCCCAGGGAGCATTTCACCTGCGTCTATCTTGCTGCAGCATCCCCAGATCAGACCCGCTAGCCCCCCCAGCTTGTCGGGGGCACGTCCCACCATGCGGGCTGGGGGGGTCCCTCCTGTGGCTGCGGCGCCCCAGGGGAAGCTAAATAAAGTGATGGGCTGGAGAGCAAACCCACGTCTGCCCTGGCACGTCCAACCTTCTGGCCCTTGTTGCACGCTGGGACGTGGCCAGCTCCTGGCTCGACTCGTGGCTTGGCCACAGCTGGTCCCTGCGGCGGCTCTTTCTCCGGGTGCCCATGGAGGGATGTAGAGGTGGGGTTGCCCAGGGAGCTCGGGGACCCGTGCACGTGGGGGGCTGCGGGAGGCAGAGCAGGTTCCCTGGGGTCTGCAGTGGAATGCAGGCTCGAGGCCACGCTGCCGGACAGGGGCTGGCAGGGCTGTGGAGGGGACAGGGACGTGGGACCCCTGACACCGCGGACGGTCCCCAGGTTCTCGGCTCTGCACCATGCGGCGCTCAACGGCAACACGGAGCTCATCTCGCTGCTGCTGGAGGCGCAGGCTGCGGTGGACATCAAGGATAACAAAGGTGAGTCCTGGCATCCTGGCCGTGGCCCCCCACCCCTCTGTAGGCTCTGGCCGGGCGTGTCAGCGTGCCGGGGGGGCTGACGGCGTGCCTGTCCTGCCCGCCCGCAGGCATGCGGCCCCTGCACTATGCGGCTTGGCAAGGCAAGAAGGAGCCCATGAAAATGGTGCTGAAAGCGGGTTCCTCAGTGAACATCCCATCGGACGAGGGCCAGATCCCCCTGCACCTGGCAGCACAACACGGGCACTACGACGTGGTACGGTGGGGCCGGTGGCAGGGCACGGAGGTGGCAGGGGGGCCGTGCCGCCCTCCCTGCTCCTGCCCTCGCCGAGCTGGAGTCTCGCTCCTCCGCAGTCAGAGATGCTCCTGCAGCACCAGTCCAACCCCTGCATCATGGACAATTCGGGGAAGACGCCTCTGGACCTGGCATGCGAGTTTGGCCGGGTCGGGGTAAGTCCTTGCAGCGCCGGGACCCCCAGAGAGGAAGATTGGGAGGGGACAGGGGCACAGCGAGGTCCCTGGGGGTGCTGGAGCAGCCTGGGGGGGGCACAGGGCAGCCCCCCGGGATGGCTAGCGGTGGGGACCTGCAGTGCCACCGCTGCGGGGGATCTCCGGCTGCTCGAGGAGGGGCAAGAGCAGGGAGGGGAGGTGGCGGCCGGGGGGGTCCGCAGCCCCGGCAGGCGGCTGAGCCGCCCTTGCAGCCCTGCTCCATCTGTGTTTGCTGAGCCAGGTGGTCCAACTGCTCCTGAACAGCAACATGTGCGCGGCGCTGCTGGAGCCCAAGCCGGGGGACGCCACCGACCCCAATGGCACCAGCCCCTTGCACCTCGCCGCCAAGAACGGCCACATCGACATCATCCGGTGGGTGCCGTGGGGAGGGAGGGCAGCGCCGGTCCCTCCCCGCCTCGCTGACCCCACCGTCTGCCCGCAGGCTCCTGCTGCAGGCTGGTATCGACATCAACCGGCAAACCAAGGCGGGCACAGCGCTGCACGAGGCGGCCCTGTGCGGCAAGACGGATGTGGTGCGGCTGCTGCTGGATGTAAGGGCCCCCCCGACACCCCCAGACGCCCCCAGCCCAGGGACGGGCTGCGGGAAGGGAGTGACTCCACGGCTGGGGGCTGCGGAGCAGCGTGTGCACCTCTCCTGGGGGATGGGGGCAAGGGTCCTGGGAGGGGACACACCAAGGCAGTGAGCCGTGTCCTCCGGCTGCTGGTCTCGGGGTGGCCCGGGGGGTCCCGAGGAGTGGTGGGGCGGGGG